CACCAGCCTGGGCAACATAGCAAGATCCCATCTCTACAAAAAATAGAAAGAAATGGAAAGCTCATCACCCCCAAGGACCCTGCCCTGATCTTGACCTCTGAGAGTATGCTCTACCTGTGTTATGGCTCTTTAAATATTATTCTTTAGCATACCCTGCCTTCTGCACTCAACTGTAAGCTTCTTAAAAACAGGACTCAGGGCTTGAGAGACAATCTACAGCCACAGCTAAAAATGTAGCCTGTGATCAAAGCATGACTTTATCATTAAACAGCCGGGCAGTCTTGGGCAGGTTACCTACCCTCTCCGTGCCAGTTTCCTCATCTGTGAAATGGAGATAATAATGGTGCCTACCTCAAAGACTTCAGTGAGGATTAAATGAGTTAATATTCAGAACAGTAAGCGTGAACTGTTGATCATCTCCGTGTCACCTACGGTGCCTTGCTGGCATAATGCCTCATGTACATGCTCATTAAATAACTGCAGGCAGAATGACCTGCCCCTGCAGTTGTTTTCTCCATCCCTCCTAACCTTCTGTCTTTGACGAAAGTTAGGTTAAGTCACTGCTTTCATTCCGAGCCATTTTGGGATATACAGACAGTCCATCTAAATAACTCAGGTCCAAAAAAAAAAAAATCTTAAATAATCCTCAAATCTTCTCTAATTATACTAAAACAGACTGCTTATTCAAATCAACACAATTAGATAGACTGCTTATTAAAATCAATACAATTAGATAATTTCCAGCCTTCCCCTTTACACTTTGAGCCATGAAGTCTTAGGCTAACTTTCTGCCCAGAGTCAAGATTCAGCAGTTCCATGTTACTTATTTCCTATAAAGTATAAATGAGAAGCCAAATTGTTCAAAAGAACTGTGTCTAGTAGCTAGGTATATACAGTATATGTGTATATCTACCTCTCTATCTATCTCACATTTAAAAGAGTCTGCAGAAAGCCTCGGGGAATCCTCTGAAGTTACAAAACACAACCATATTAACGTGATTTATCAAAGTACAGTCAATGAAGTGCCACAAATGAACAATTGCTACAGAGTCGAGTAGATGGCACAATGTGATTTACGCATATCACACGCAATGAATAAATCAACGGTGGGGAAGATCAAAGGAAATGCAGGAATGGTTGTTAATATGTACAGGGCTTCACTGAATATCTTCTTAATAAAACAGTTTAGAGGAAAATAGAAGGATCATTTGTTTAAATGAAAAGAGATACCGCATGTGCTGAATTTCAAAAGCAGCATTCATTTTCATACACACACATATTAGATTTAGCTAAAATTAGCTCAAGTTCCTATTTTTTTAAAGGTCTTAAAGGAATAGAGGTTTCAACAAGATTTCATTGAGCTGTAGTTCAGCACTGAGTTTCTGTGGAAGACCCCCAGCGCCGACCCATACATCGTCCCAACTCCTCCACCCACCAGGTCTTGCAAAGATGAGGCGCACGCAGGCAGAGCCGCATCCACGTTCAAGCTACTTTGCGCTCTCACTGTCTCTGTGCGTATTCTACACCAGCTGATGTCATCCCTGGATTTAGTTATCCCCTCCTGTGGGTCGGACTTTTTTGCCAAGGCATAAGAATCCAAAGCCTAATTTCAAAGATCACGTTTATGCCCATGACTCCTCCAAATTTATCTCCAGACCTGACCTCTCAGTGGTTTTCCTCCCACACTCTCTATTGTCTGCCCGACTCCAGAAACTCAGATTTCCACCAGCACCTATGCTTCAGCCAAAATGGCCTGGTCAGTTACACACCATGCACTTGCTTGTTAAGTTCCAGCCACTCAAATGGGCTTCCTCCTGCTCTATCCATCCCTTCCCACCGAAATGCAATCCAGACGGAAGAGCTCACCGCAAGCGATCCCTCCTCCTCGAAGTCTTTCCTGATCACTCCTACTCAGCATCACTCTCCTGAATCCCTTCACTGTTAGAACACTCACAGAACCCCATTCTGCTGTGTACTTGTTATTTCGGAGCATTTCTTCGTCCCCCTGCCTGACCACGAAGAATATAACCTCCTTCCGGCAGCTCTTACTCACTTTCATTCCCACGGCACCATGCAGTCGTTTAAAAAAAAATTCACAATGAGAAAATGAATGAATCATTTCTTTACATAAATAGGGACTGTGAATAAGTTAGGTCATCACTTGCTACAGCTATATCATATTTATAAAATAACTAGAACCAGAAATAATTGTAATCTAGGTTTTTAAAAAAACTGAATGAATATAACAGAGTACAACATGAATGATACTGTTTCCCTGCCCACAGTTTAGCCATCAATTGTGAGGACTGTAATGAGGTCATTATTGATGCAAAATGTTTAGATAATGCTTATAAGCTTCCTTTAAACGCAATCACAGAAAATGTCATCTGCTTAAAATTCAAGGTGACTTTGCACTACTTTGTCAGTAATACAATGAGTATTCATAAGGCACTTAGACTTGCCTAATGCACTATAAAAACCTGGGACTCTTCTCAGTAAGCTGCACATATTGACCAAGAGATTCGACGTTTCGCTGCCTGTTTTTTTCACAATGAAATTCCTGAGATATTCTGTTATCACAAATGATGCTCTTTAAACACTACAGGGGGCCGGGTGCGGTGGCTCACGCCTGTAATCCTAGCACTCTGGGAGGCCGAGGCAGGCAGATCTTTTGAGCTCAGGAGTTCGAGACCAGCCTGAGCAAGAGCAAGACCCTGTCTTTACTAAAAAAAAAACAATAGAAAGAAATTATCTGGACAACTAAAAATATATAGAAAAAATTAGCCGGGCATGGTGGCGCATGCCTGTAGTCCCAGCTACTCAGGAGGCTGAGGCGGAGGATCACTTGAGCCCAGGAGTTTGAGGTTGCTGTGAGCTAAGCTGACACCATGGCACTCTACCCCGGGCAACAGAGTGAGACTCTGTCTCAAAAAAAAAAAAAACAAAACACTACAGGGTAAAAAAATAGTTGCACGTATACTCCCCCCATATGCAATTAAACTATTTCCCAAAAAATCTAAATGTGAGGATTTTCTGCCTAGCAAATAACTGTTAAAATGGGTAACACACGAAGAGATAAAGTAGCAGTTACACACCCCACCCTTTCCAGTCAACTGACACTTAGAGATCTTAAGAGGTCTACCTTTGCATGTCACTCCAAGTTATTCTATTTCCACTTAAAGAATAACTCTCTAATCCACAGCCAATAAAATGTAAGGAACCCAGTTCCGTCTATATAATGTTTTTGAGAACTCCTCCCTCTGCCTCCTTGTCCCCCACTAGCATGTTTTTGTCTATTTTTTCTGAGGCATAATACTTTAGTCACTCAGGTTTTTGTTTATTTTTACTCAGACCACAAATAACTCCATTTATGCATGCAATTCTTGAGTTCATCTTACAACAACATCAAAAAATGCATACACATCCTATCACAATAAGAAAGTTGTGATAATTTCAGAATTTAAAATTCAAAAAAATAAATAAAAGGCCCATTGGCTTTGCAGAGCTGCAGATGTCTACAGGGTTGGTCCAAAGACCAAGGTCCAGGTATATTTACTTGTTCCTAGTCACGTATGGTCCAGGAGCAACCATCACAAAACACAACCATTAATATACAATCACCCTGTCAAGAGATAAGTTGCACGGTAACAAGGATAGCATATATTAACAGATCACAAACCATACACCAGGCACTCTTCTACCCGCAGTTACATATATTATTTCATTCCATCCTCATAGCAGCCCTATTAGAAAGTTCTAATATTATCTCTATTTTACACTTGAACAAACTGAGGCACTGAAAGGATATAGGACTGCTCGAGGTCAGAAAGGCAGCTCTAGGTTTTAAGTCCAGAAGGGCTAGTTACAGAGCTCCATGCTGTTGTGTCAGATGCCAGGGAATTTATATGTCAGTTAAGTGTATAGACAGAGTTCTCCCTTTAAAGAAATCTGGTCAAGCATTTTGGTAAAGCAAATATCCACTTCTTGACAAATGAGTTTTGAAAATCCAAATTTTTAGATGTGAGGTTTGGTAAAAACAGACTGTGCTTTTCACCAAGTAAGGATATAGAACATTACTTGGGAAGAGCTACCTGTAGGCCACCAAATCCAGCAGTTCCCAAATCTGTGGAGCCACACTCCTAGGAGAGACAGACCCTCCAGAACCTTTTGATTCAGGAGGTCTAGGGTGGAGCCCCAGATTCTACTTTTTTAAGCTCTCCAGGTGATTCTGTTGCCCAACCAGGCTTGGGAACCTCTGATCTAGTGTATCTTCATAGCCGCAAGCAGGACTGCTTCCAAGGCAAATAGAAGTTAATCCCCTATTTTCTATTTCATAATCTCCCTTGGTTGCGTATAGCCCTGTTCCCAAACCCTTACTGCCCCAAGTTCTAGCAAGCTTCCATCTCTCTCCTGATTTCATCTGAGGCAGTATCCTCTTGCCCGCTCTTCAGTAGAGAACCATGAGTCATCACCCTTGCATATACCCTGTGTATGCATGACTCTCCAAGCCAGAAAAACTTACTGTACATTGGGAAATCAGGAAGTTGTAAAATCCAAATAGACACAAAGAAATTCAAGAAACAAATACTGGTTGCCACTAAACAAACCAGACTGTTTTACTATGCATGTATTAGACTACGACAAAAACCTAAAATGTAAAAACTGTGACTTACAATAAGGGGTAGCATAACATTCTTAATCGCATTAAGGAAAGGTGACAATTAAAACGGCCAGACTCAAGCCCCAAACAATAGCAATAATCAATCACCACGAAGTCAAATAAGCTTTTTCATGAACCAAATAAATTAAACCAAAAAGATAGACACTTTAATCCAAGTTTTAAAAAAACTATCTTGGCAATTTCTCTATTTCCTACACAATTTAGTTTGCAAAGAAAAATACATTCAATCGTCAATAAAATGCTAACGCGTGACTAGGAGGCAATTTTCCAGGTAAGACTTTATCCTCAGATAGAAAACAGGGAACATCGCAACTCTCACCTGACATGTGATGCGCTCCCCTGTAGTGGCAGTGGAGGAGGAGACCGTTGTACAAGGATGACAATCAAATCTGCAGCTTGAATGGACCACCCTGGCGATTTGTTGTTCGATGCTCCTGCAGTGGGTCAGGGAGTGCAGGAGAAATCCAGAATGAAAAAGAGAATAAACTGCTTTAAAAAATAAGTCCACCTTAAGCGTCTATGCACTGAAATATGAACTTTAATAACATCAACTTTTGCATTTTATGATATAAGAATTACACAGATCCCAGCCAGCTCAAAAGGCAGGTCTGGTTTTATTCAACAGGACTCAGAGAGGCCAACACACCAAAAGGTCATCCCTTCAGTCAAATTTAGAGGTTGGTCTCCCCATTTGAGCCAGCCACTGTCATTCTTTTCTGCATTGATTCTAGCCAATCATCTGATAAACACATGCTGGTAATCACAAGGAATATCAGGTGAAAATGGGCATGGATTGAATAGTAATTGAGTCAAAGCCTAATTTGAATGTGGCATATATTATCTATCAACATGCAACTTGAAAGACAATCATGAAAAAGCACAGCCATTAGCATACCAATCCAATGGCATAGAAAAAAGTATAAAATGCAGAAAAAAATTTTAAAGTGTGCACATATCCAGTAGACTTTCCACTGAACTTTTAAATTATTTAAGTATTGAATGTATATCTATTTCATTTTCATTTTGCCACAATGCCTTGCACATGGTTAAGTAAAACTTATCCACTGTATGATGAATGAGTGAATGTGTGAATGGATGAATGAAAGAAAGAATGAATGAATCTTCCATATACCTTTCCATCAGGGAGCTTGGTGCTTGTAGTAGTTTTTGTGAGGTAAAGACCTACGCACAGAAATGGAAGAAATTGAGGACTCGATCTGCTAATATGCTTTTTAGCCTTATCCATTAAAATTATATTTTTAAATACTGGTAATTACCATTTATCCACACTAAACAGAAAAAATCAGCAGCACAGTTACTATAAAATAATCCCCGGGCTAGCAAATGCTGGACTGATTTTCAGTCTTTGATTACTGGTGCTGATCTGCATATTTGTTTAGGCTGATTTTAAATTTAGTTTGGGTTTCCAAAGCTCACACCAGGTAACAGTAGGAAGGAGAAGGCCTAGGGTTATTTGGGTGTCAGAAAGAAACTATTCTGGAGCTGTGAATATGATCTCCAACGTGAATAATCTGTAAACAGGTAAGTGAGCCAATTATCCTTGGGTACATGGCAATACATCTCGGTAGTCATGATTATTTTCATCCATACACATTCACTATTTTTAAGAGCACAGCCCAGCTGGAAAGGAAAATAACTTCCATTTCTTTCCAGCACTTTTCAAAGTAATGAACAGTAGCCAAAACATTCTTACTTCTAACTAATCCATTCACCAAGCATTTAAGCATCGATTGCATGCCTGGGACTGATATGCAAAAGAAGTAATTTTTGTAGTCCTCGGTTTCCCCAAGTGTAAGCTGTGTGTATACAGAAGGAAGATAAGCTGCTGTAGACTATAATATCTTTTAAATCCTTAGACGACACTCTCCCTCCACCAAGAAGCTTGTCGAGTTACAAATATAAATAGTTGCCAAGTTAAATACAAATTCACAAAATCCTATTTAATCTTATACTGTATTTCTCTTAAGGGGAGAGGGGTCTTCATGTTATCTAGTAACATCTCACAAGGAGCATCAAAATACTTGATCTTCAAATGAGGTGCAGGGACTGTGGCTTTGATGGCACTTTAGAAGCTCACGGTTGGGAGAGTGTTTGCTTGTATATCGATGTGTGCGCACACAATCCTATTTACATATCACCTGGCAGATAAGGTTTTATAGAGTCCAAATTACAGCCTCCTCCTGTTTCTGCTGAAGTGCAGAGGACAGTCAAACATGATGCAAATGCTGTAAAAGATTAATTTACTCTCGCGTGGGTATGCCTTATTTCAAAAGCGTTTGTGTTGCTACACCAGTTAGGGTAACAGAGAGAGTCAACATAACTCATATTCCATCAAAGAGGGAAGCAACACAAGAATAAAAGCAAGGCAGTGTGGATTCATTGCAAAAACATACAAACAATAAGCAAAAAAAATAACCAATAGAATGTTTTATACAATGATATACACCAAGAGTGGAATATTCATTTTAAAAAAGCACAACAGAACAACATAATACAATACTACTAATAGTGGAAGATTATCAAAAAAGATGGCCTAAATAAAACTGATGTGATGGTTGGTAAAGACTGGGAGATAATGTGGGAGAGGGGTCAAAACCAAGGGCATAATAAAATAAAATTTGCCACACAGAGTGAGAGAAAAATACACTTTCTTTGAACATTAGAAGCATAAATGCTTATGCTTAGCAGTTAAGATAATTATCACTAAAAACTTCTGCTAAATAACTCCCTCAAAACTTCTCATGTTAAAAGACACCTAAGTCGGGGGGGAAAAAAGAAAGAGTCCCTCTTAGCCCAAATCCATACAGCATAATCAGAGGAACCTCTGCCCTCTTAAGTCTCAAATTCTGATTATACTATAATGAATTTTCTGAAAAGTAATTTTCAGGTAGGATATAATTTTTGCTTACATTATGGCAATTATCATTGCGTTTTTATTACTCCACAAATGGAATGCATTAAAAGTTAGAGAAAAATCAATGAAACATTTCTGTTCATGAAATATGTCAAACAAAATATAACGCTTGTTGCTTTTTTTTTTTTGCCTGTAATCGTTCTAAACATGTTTTAGTACATTTGGGATGGTATTAATATGATTAATATGTAGTACAAATATTTAGAGTACACTAGCCTGAAAGATTCATATTTATAAGGATTATAAAACATTTTACTACACTGATAATGACAAAAATATATAAACAATTATGCAAGAAGGAAAAAATAAAAAAACTTTGTACAGATAAAGATTTATATAAAAACATTTTTATTACTTCTGTAATTTTAAGCATTTATGTATTTTTTAAAATCACAATCCAATTGCAGCTCTTTCAGCCAACATTTCAAAAATTCTATAAAACAAGCACCCTATATACTTATTATTGTCACTTCTTAAAGAAATTTTGAATGAGTAAATTTACTTTATTAAATTAAATGAAACTAAAATGTTAACAGTGTAATTAATTACTGAAAAATTCCTATCTTAAAAAAAAAGTTCCATATACAATGTCCTAGAACAGAAATTATTATCTCTGTTGGGATTTCTACAATTTATTGTTTTCAAGGCTTTTAACAAAACAAAGACAGGCCTGCTTTTGATAACCTTGGAATATGACCGGAACTAAATCTATTCTTTCAAGCAATTAAGCTGCACACATCTAAATCTCTCACAGAAACCAATCATTCAAACTACTGAAATACTCTGAAAATATAAAGCAAGGGAAGTCAAATAATCTATCTCTCCCCTAAAAATGACAGCCTGTCTTGCTGTACTATGCTACTTTACCTATGCAAGTATTTAAGCTTTTCAGTTTCTAAACTATGTGTTACTTTCAGATAACTAGTGTTTAAAGAATTAACATTCACTCCCACATTTACCTATTAAACTGAGTTTCAGAGTTTTAGTAAAATATGTTTATTGACTACTTCTACTAGGAACAAAATAAACCAGGTTGTTATAGCATGTCAGTCATCAGAAACTGTCGTTCAAGGTATGTGCAAAAGCAAAATCCACTTGACATTTCAGAATGGGAAAAAAAATAAAGGAACAACATTATACAAAAGGAATCTGAGTCCTTGAATTCTATCATGACAAACAAAAACAGGAGTCATAGAAATGTTTACTAATATTTTAATAATCTCTTAACATTGGCCTTTCTGAGGACTCCCAGACAACTGAGTTAGGTATATTGAAACCTAAGGCCCATGGACAGGCATTTAACACATCATCTGATGGAAAAAAGAGTTTTTCTTTAATTTTTCTCTAAAAGACAATTCAGAAGCCGTAAAGCCTAGTTATAACATTTCTGACAATGTATCACTTCTGTTTACCAAACCCTCTTAAAATGAAATCCAGAAGAAAAAATATTGTATTTCATGATTCCCAAGCAAGTACATTTTTCATACATATTTTAGCATGAATTTATTTGTGCACTGAAAAATACATGTTCACATTTTACTGCAAGTAAAGGGTTTTTCTGTATGTTGCAAAACAGAATCCAGGACCTCCAAGGTATTGTGTAAAAACTTAAACTTCTATTTTATATCCTGGCTTCCCATCTATTTACCTCCCAGAAATAATAGCTTGTTTTAACCACAGCAGTGCTTCATCTGACCAGGCCACAATGAATTTACCAACCACATGAACTCACTAAACAGTAGAAACTCATAAACCCCCTGTGAGCAGAGTTGAGTAGCTCTCTCAATCCTAGCCCTGGGGGAAAAAAAAATTTACCAATTTAGCTATGCGGCCATAAAACTAAAAACTGACTGGCAGGGTCACAACTAAATAAAGACATTATTATTTTCAATTATCTTTTCTTTCAAATATCAGGGTTATTAAAATACTCTTCCTTAGTTGGATTGCCTGAGCAGCACAGAGCTTCAGAAGCAACTAAAGCTATTTTTCTTTTTTCCTTTTTGCCATATTATTTCTCTTTGCTTAGCAGGCTTAATCAGTGGTGCTCTAATGTAAAGACTAGAATACTGCTTTCTAACTGCTCATTAAATTATATTCTAAAATAGAGTACAAGTGTTACCGTGCAAAATCCCCACACATTATCAGTCCTCTAGCTATAGGCCTCTATCACCTGTCCCTTAGCTGAGGAAAAACAAAACAAAACCTTTTAACTTACTACCAAAAGTTGTTAAAGATCATGGCCAACAGGTCTAAATTAAGAATGAATATATTCACGTCTCCCTACTGTCAGTACCAGTTTTTGTTACAATGGCTGCAAAGTTTTAAAATGTGACAATGGGGATATACTTCCCAAACAAGTTATTTCCTCTGAATAAACCCTTTTGAAAGCCAGCCATCACTATGGGCAATGTAGGTTCCAAAGGATGAGCGCTCATCACACTTGAAAGGGTTAAGTGCCTGCAAGGCCAAAGGCAGCAGACTGCAAAAGAAATGTTGCTTTAGTAAGCTCTGAAAGGTTTCTAACAAGTACCAAATACTTGTTGATCCCTTCACAATAAACACCAGCAGGATTGTCAGGCTCCTTTCACTGTCTGGGGAGATGTATTTACATACTGCACCCAGTAAGAACAGCTTGTTGGTCTACTTTATAAAAGTTGAGTAGCTAGAAGCCTCATTCAGTATCTCCCGTTCAAATGACTGAAAGAAGATGCAGTGGAAACAGTGAAGTCTCCCGGCTGGCTTGGGCAGCACAAATACTGTGCATGAACACTTGGAGTAGTTCGTGCACAAGACAAACCCACCTGAATGGACGAGGAACACTGTCTGTTGCCATGGCAGCCTGATCTAATTACATGAGTGATCAAGGCTGGAGTAAGTGCACCGAAAACCTACACCACTGACACCTATCTACATGATGTGAAAGACAGGCAGCCAGGAGGTTCAGCGGAGCCCTTCAACCTCTGCTTTACTAGAAGGTGGCATGCACGCCCATTTATTTGCGGAGCTGCTAAAATATTGACGGATGCGTGCACAGTTAGAGGGCAATCAGAGGAGATTAAATGCCACAGCATTAGCCGTTATGGTGCAATCCCTTTCCAAGAGTTCATGTGCAGGATTTTCTCGTTCTTGTCTCTGGTGGTTTCCTCAGGCATGATCTTCATTCCAAAAAAAAATCTTCAAGTATCAAACTACCTTTACCGATCAAATAAACCAGAGGGTGGGCTTAACAGGGGCTTCTAGGAACTGCAGGGCTCCTCAGAAACCCAAATAGGAATGGCTCAGCTAACACTGTTGAAAAAGTAACTAGCTATGCCTAAAAATAACTATCAAGTAGCTACCCACTGCTGTGTGCGATATAGAACGATGATGTTTAAATATTAAGAACAGCCTGCATTATAAAACACAAATGTCATTGAGATGTGACTACTAGATTGCCAAAGGAGAACTTATTTGCATACACACATTCCTGTGCCTGCACGACAGGATATGCAGGGAGAATGCCACTCTAAGGCATTAGTTTTTATTCTGTGGGTGTAATAGGGTCTTCTAATTTTGCTAATTGTATCCTGTGGATCTCACAAGGAAGCTAAGAATCTCTTCGGGGATAGAACCAGTTTGGAGGAGTCCCTACTGCACAGCATACGGTAAACAAAATAAAAATAGCTTGCCGTTCTCGTTAGCCACATCGTGCATTATATAACCAGCTTCTTCCGACTGGCTTTTTTTTTTTTTTTTTTTGCCCTTACTACACTTCAGCAATTTCCCAACCTTCCCAAGTATTTATATTACCCTCTTATCTGTAAGATTATATACCAAGAAAGCAAAACAAAACAGCAGCCACGGGATCGAACCGAACACCATCGTCCTCAGAAACTGATTTTTTTTCTTTTTGGTTTTGTTTTGTTTTCTAGCAGAGTCTCGATCACCACCCTACTTCCACCCCCCACTAAGGTTCTTGCTCAATCTCCCTAGAAAACCTGAATTGTTTCATCGCTTCCAGTCAGCCCCCTACGTGGTCTGAAATAAAATGAAAGCACAGGCCACAGAGTTGAAGAAGGCAGCCTGGGGGCGGGGGGCTGAAGAAGGGTCGGGGCGCTGCAGAGTCAGCCAAGTGGCCGTGAAGGGTCCCCTCCCTTTCGCGACTGCCCTCGCCCCCCGCCCGGCGCGCGCGCACAAATACAAACACACACACACACACACTCAGCCACACTCACACTCAAGCCGCGCTCCGACAGCGCCTCACCTCTCGCTCCGCCCGTCCGGCCCCCTTCCCTGCCCCCTGCGGGACCGGCCTGCGCTCAGCGCTGGAACCACGTAGGAGGCGGCGGCGGCGGCCGCGGGAGTGGCAGAGTCTCCGGCCCGGCCCAGAGTGAACGAGCAGCGGGGCTCCAGGGCGCATCCCAATCCCCGCAGCGCCTCCTCCTCCGCCGCCGCCACCTCCTCCTCCTTCCCCTCCTCCTGGCTTCATTCACCCTCCCAGCAGCCTCGCAGCCGTTCACTCCCGGCGCAGGGCAGCGCCTGTCGCGGCTCCTCTGCTCCTGCCGCGGGCGCTGGCTGGGGCACCGGCCCGGACTGGGGCGCTCGCGGGCTCCCGGCTCCGGGCGGCGGCGGCTGCACATGATCAGGAAGCGGCTGCACCAACAGGGCGGCGGTGGCGGCGGCAGTCAGGGCCGCCACCGCCACTCCAGCCGCGCTCCCGGCACCCGCACACCGGCTCCCCACTGCGCGGTTCCCACAGCCACCCCTCTGCGTCCCCCGCCAGGCGCCCGGCCGCGCGCAAAGTCCCGGCCCGGCTGCCAGGGCAGTTCCCTCCCGGCCTGCAGCCGAACACCCGGCGAGGCCGGCCTCTGAGGGGAGACCCCCGCCCCGGGGCGCCAAGGCCAGGCGACCACTCGCAGGGAAGTCCAGCCCTCCCCGAGACCCCCTCGCTCTCACCGCCCCCTGCGGGGAGGAGGAATGGAAACGGGCGGCGGGGAAAGGGAGACTCGGGGCCGCCGCCGCCTCCCCCTGCGCCACCCAGAGGGAGGAGGACATGGCTCTGCACTCGCAGCCGGACCGGCAGCCGCTGGAGCCGGGCACCGCCGCCGCTCTCCCCGCCTGCGCCCCCGGTCCGGGCGCGCCCCCTAGCCCGGCGGGAGCCCACCCGGCCCCCTGCAGCCCCCCTGCCGGCCGCCTTTGCGCCCAGAGTGGGGGTGTCGGCCCGGCAGGCTGGAGCCGGGACGGTTGTATGTATACACACACACACACATACACACACGCACACACACACACCACGACGCGTCGCTTTCCTTCGCTCCTCTTCCAGCTGTTTTTCGTGCAGCCGATTGGGGTTTGGGGTTTGTTTGCTGGTTGTTGTTTTTGCCCCTCTCTGGAGAGTGGGGGAGAAGGGATTTTAATCTAAATAAGGGGAGAAGGGGATGGGGGAGGGGGAGAGAAAGAATCAGAGGAGGAAAAAAATAGCCACTTACTGTAAAGTGTAAATGGATCTGGGGTTGCGTGGGGAAGGGGGGGGCAGAGGGAGAGAAACAATGTCTTGCGGCTGCTGTTGCTCTGGCTGCTGCTCCACGGGGCTTGTTTTGGATCCCCCTGCAGTGAAACAGGTCCTGTACGGCTCCGCCACTGTAGTAGAAATGATGTCTGCGGTATACTCTGCTCTCTCCTCCTCCTCCTCCTCCTCCTCCTCCCCCTCCTCCCGTTCCCCTCCCCTCCCTCCGCCCGCCCGCCCTCCCTCGCGCTCTCTCGCGCTCGCTCGCTCGCTCCAGTATGTAAATGTGTAATAGAAGCCAAATATGGAGCAGTTGGCTGCCGCCGCCGCAGCTCAAGGATCCGACTTCACTGGGGCGGGGGGGCCCCTCTGGCGGGCGGCCCGGCGAGCCGCACAGAGCACCGCTAGCGCACAGCGCGGCGCCCGGCCCGCGCCCTTAACCCTTCGTTCGGTGCGCGCCGCGCGGGGAGGCGGCCCCGGGGAAGCGGGAGCCTCTCCCGAAGAGTGGCTCGGGATGGGGGTGGGGGCAGGGGAGACACGGGCTGGAGGGCACAGTTCCTTCCAGGTTTGGGAAAGGGGCGGGGAGCTGAGGCGATGAGGTAATTTGAGCGGTGACCGGTCGGTCCTCGCGCGCCTCCCTTGGTCCCTGCACCTAGTTGAAGGGGACAGAGCGACAGCGGGGTGCAACTCAGGCAACATGGGGGACTCCCCCAAGGGGTGTCAGGCTTCAGCTCCGAGCCAATGAAATACCCAAAGCGGAGGGGAGGTCGGCCAGTTCTAATCCCGACGTGCCCTTGGTGCCCGGCGCTCGGAGAAGCGTCTAAGAGGGCTCACTCTGATCATCAGCTGCACGTTAACCCTCAAACCGGTGTCGCTCCGGCGTTCGGGAGCCCAGGCGCAGGCGCCGCGGGGATCGCCGTTGCCTGCAACTCGGGAAAGTTTCAAGGGTCCCCACGACTGCACAAGCACCCTCACCTTTCCTGCCTGCGAAAGCCGGCGATCCTCCCTTCTTTCTCTTTCTGCAGGTCCGGAAATCTGCTTTGGGTATTGAACTACTCAGCTCTATCCTTGATGGAAGACCCGCGCGCTCCTCTCGCAGCTAATTTGGGATCATTAATTTAATCGGAAATGAGGTAACCAGTGTAGGAGACAGGGAAAGCAAACCGAGCATCAAATGGCAGCTTCCGAGGAGAATCCACGCCGGAGAACTTCCTCTGGACTCGATTTTTAAGTGCGGTCCTCCACTCCCCCCATCCCGTCCCCTCCGCCTGTGCCACCGCCAGGTGTGAGCTCCATGCGAAGGAATCTTCTTTGGAGGGGTGCACCTTGCCAACAGGTGTGGCACCTGAAGGAAGAGAAGGCACATCTATCCAGAGGGAGCTCGGTGCGGCGTTCTCCTTGTTGCAGATAATTCTGGAAGACCAGGAGGTGCTGGGGCGGCATTTGACCTCCTTCAGGTGCTTAGAACTAAGCGTCTAGAAATATGATCCCTCCGCGTAAATTACTCTCTGGAAGCCACCGCTATTGACTGTAAGCTATATTTGAGAGACCTTTTGGCTGTGTTTACTTATGACCTAACGGTTAGTCACCAACTGAAGCAGGACACAGAATCACCAAGAGAAGTGTGTCAGTTTTTAAACAACTCTGTATTGTAGAGCTAACGTGCTTTGGAAATAAAAATAAGCATACAAATGAGGAAGGTGTAGAGCCCCGGAAATATTTTTTTCTCACATTTTGAAATGCCATGCACATATACATGGCTATTTAAATAGAACTACTACTGTTCACTTTTACTCGTTTCTACCACTTTTTTTTTTCATTTAAAAATCAATGATTGTTACGGCTTTAAACCTCGGGTTGGTCTAAAGTGACATTGTTGGTCTCATTACAGCCTCTAGTGGACAGCTAACATTAGTTTCCTGAAAAAGCTCTGCCTGATTTTGTTTTGTTGACAAGATTTGTCAAGGTGAAGGTTAATATTTCAGAGCATAATCGGGTAATATCTCTTCCCGACCCCACTTGGCAAAGCCAACTTCTGAAAGAAGCAGAAGCTTGTTGACTCTGCGTGGAAAAGACGTATGCTTTGTGCTGCAGGTATTATTATTACTGGCCTGTGAATAAACAGAGAGCTTCTGCTATTCATTTCAGTTTTAGACAGCTTTCATAAAAACTAAATTCATCTAAAATATTTTTATAACAGAAAATATTGGTTGCCATGTTTTTGGCTTAACTGAGATGTTTTTATTCCAACTCATAATCTGCAAACTGTCCAATCCACCTCCACTCTATTTTTAGACGTCTTACATTTAGAGAATTTTCAGTGAAAAAAAGAACTAATATTGTAATTATTACATTGGCACGAGCAGTTAATTTACGTTATTTTAACAACCTTAAACAAATTAAAATACATAATTCAGATTAGAGTTCATCAATTAATTTCAATGTTCCCTCAAGGAAGCTAAATATGTATATTACCCAAACAGTAAAAACAAGTAATAAGAAATGTGTCATTTACTTTCGTAGCCATTAAGATTAAAGCCATAAACTGTCCCTAAAATCTGTAACTATTTCTTCCTGCAAAGTCCAACATAAACACCATACTCATGAAACAGTTTCATCACGTTTAGTACTAAAATGTTTTGTTTTCAGATGGCAAAATATTAACTGTACATTCACAAATAACAGACACTGATTCTTTAAAAACAAGACTTTCTCATGCAAATAAAAATTCAGTGAAAAAAGGGCAGAGCTTTCAAGAAGCCAGTAGGCAAATATGTAGTACTGTAGTCCTCACACCCGTCATATTATATTTGTACAAGCATTAGTCAACCTTTGAAATTAAAGAAATTGAGAAATAAGGCCTGATGACCCTTACTCTTAACCTGTGTTCTAGATTGCTTAAACACCATGAAAAATACTTTTAAGCCCTTACATCTGTCTTACTGTTTTCATGGTATCTACTCTTAAAGGTTTAAAATGAGTCAGCAAGTATGTATTGTATCATATAATTATATATTACACCCTTATTTCTTAAAGTGTAGTCCTCAGAGTAGCAGCAGCAGTGGCATCTAGGAGCTTTTTATACATTCAGAATCAAGGGTTCCACCCTAGACCTAATGAATCAGAATCTGCCTTTGAACCAGCCCCCCGGGTGATTCCTAAGCACACTATAGTGTGAAGAACACTGGTCCGTACTACAAGACTCAGCCTAGATGAATTTGGGCACAGGTGCAGAACTTAATTATTCTATTTAGTTTTTCTTCCTTATTATTAATACCTTTTATTAATTTTGGCTTTTCAATGAAAAATTATCACATTGCATGCTTTGGATAAATCGTACTTCATTATAGAGGAGCCCTGATTTATGCACAAATTTGCATCATTGTTGCCAAAAGAGAACACTCTACTGAGGAATGTGGGGTCTTGAATGTTAATGTTTTCTTCATGGCAGCAGAGGGAGCACAAGAGTGCTTAATAAGACCAGTGCACAAGGCCCTCCAAATTGTGACAGATTTTAAATTGTAGTGTATGTTTTCCTTGGAAGTAGCCTGTTATGTAGTTCAAAACAAAGCAAAACGACCAAAACAAACAAGAAAACACAAACAGCTTACCAGGTTATAACAACTAAATAATTGAACAGATTGGAAGCTAAATCAAATAAAGATATACTTCTTTAGAATTTAAGGCTTGAATTCTTAAAAATGAAAAAATGGACCTCAAAAGTCAAAAAGATGTCTTAGCTTTGCTGTAGTCAAAAATAAAGATAACACAATACAGAATAAGACAACCTTAAGAGTAACTCATGTTTATCTAAAAATGGAATCAATTCATCTAATCCTACATCAGGTACATTAATTTCATCTGAGGTCAAACATATTGGTTAAAGTATATGCACTTTTTACCACGTTTACTTTCACAATAATTTTAGGGGGCCTGTCGATGCTTGCAGTGGTGAGAATTTAGGTTTCAATTATATCTATGTAGCATTTCATACTTTTCACATCTCTTTTGTATTAAACCCGCAAAAACTCCCTTGAGGTAGATAAGATTCGTAGTAAAAGCTAAGCCTCAAAAAAGTTATGAAACCTGTTCATGCTTTCATAACATTGAGTCATTTAATTGTTTCAGTAATCCTTTGAGGTGTTCGTAAATGGAGGAAATCATAGAAGTTAAAGATCCAGTAGCATGTTTTTCACAGTTTTAAAGGTTTTTCAAATTTACTATCAGTGAATATTTGATAATTGAGTATTTAAATAAGAGATTAAGAATAAGACTATGTCTTAATTCTCAGATTGCTTTTTATGTATTTATTACTTATTTACCAACAGCCATTTATTGTACATCTACAATCACTAGGCCCTAAGAATATAAAATTGAGTCAGACATCTCAATCTCCAAGGAGTTCAGAGCAAAACAAATCTTACCTTTGGGAAAATGTTAATTTTTATCATGGTGAGACACAAAGATTCATAGCTGATTGATCCAGCACCCTGCAGACTTCCAAATTTATTAGAATCAAATACTAGAATGATTGAAAATTTGGGAGGTGGGCAGGCAATTGTGTAAGTCTTGAGCAAAATTTGAGTTATAAGCTAATATTAATATTTCAAATGTGTAAAATTGTAAAACAAAATGTAAAGATATGTGTATTTTATCTGAATGTCTTCCCCATCAAAAAATCATAAGAGTAAGTTAAAATGGTAAACATTTATTTATTTTTATCTTTTTTGAAGTGTTAAAAAGAATTTCCTCCCACACTAAAGAGGGTTTGCCAAGATTGTGCCTGGAGCAATTTGTTATGGCTGTGTAATAAATCCCAGAAAGTTTGAATTTTTAATGGAAATGCTGACAGAATAAAGAGGGTGTGATCCTACATATGTCATTTAAAAATCTGAGCAAACCATAGTGTGCTTGCAAAACAAATATATTTCCCTTAGATTGCATCCCAAATAAAGCTGGCAAGACCAGAAAAGGAAAATAAACTAAAAACAAAAGTGAAAACACTCGCACAATAGACTGTGAGGTCAGCTTACCACACCCAGACTAAAGTCATTGGGCTGTGCACAGAGTCTCTTAAAGAACATGCTTATGACTCACCTTTCTTGACCCTCTACCAAACTGAAGCAGGACAGACTTCCTGGTAATAAAAATGACATCATCAAT